AGCTTTGAATCCGTGGCGGAAGGAAGTAGTTCCGCACAAAAGAGGGTTTTATTAGGCACTCCGTTGTTTCGTGTTTAATTACACACATGTTCTGTCGAACTGTTGTATAAAGCAATATCACTCGAGTACGAGAGCGATACCGGCTCTATATCAGCATGGATGTGATTAGGCCAGAGGCACGAGGCAATCACAGCCACTGATATTGAGCCGGTATCGCTCTCGTACTCGAGTGATATTGCGTTTATACAACAGTTTATACAATTTGCATCCAAATGAGAGAGAGAGACAGCGAAGCTAGACGTTTCTTCTTATATTAACTAACGTACTCTACGATTAGCTCAGTGAATAATTAAAAAAAAAACATAGACCAGGCTAGAACAAGCGGAGTCATACAAAATTGTGAAAGGGCGTTCCTGTAGCGATACCAGTACAATATCTCACGGTTCTCAACCAATCAGATTTGAGAACCAGAACGAACTGTTGTATAAATATGAAATATTTCTCCTTTTATAACACTCCAGAACAAACATTCTTAAAGGGGTCATATGATGTTGCTAAAAAAAACATTATTTTGTGTATTTGGTGTAATGAAATGTGTTTATGCGGTTTAAGGTTCAAAAAACACATTATTTTCCACATACTGTACATTATTGTTTCTCCTCTATGCCCCGCCTTTCTGAAACGCATCGATTTTTACAAAGCTCATCGGTCTGAAAAGCAAGGTGTGCTGTGACTGGCCAGCTATGCAGTGCGTTATGATTGGCCGAATACCTCAAGCGTGAGACGGAAATGTTATGCCCCTTACCATACTGTGATGCCCTGTCAGGCCTGCGCGATGATTCAAAAACATGAAAACCCACTATAAACGAGGCATTCGTTGCATCCAGTGGGGACATAATTATGGATTATAATGACTTATACTGTCTTTTTACGCGTTGCGTTGCATCACGCCGCGTAAATGTAACGGGTTGTCTCTGCGTTGTGTTGTTTAAAACTCAGAATGGATACCAATTCGTGCTTGAAGACAGACTTTTATTCTGTTGACAACATATTAAACAGCGGTGATCAGATTCGCAAATCACCCTCGTGCATGCTCGCAGCCAGTCACCCTCTCGGCTGGCGCGAATCTAAATTACTAACATTTATATAAACAGTTATACAACAACACAACTGAGAAATATGTACCTGTTGACAACATATTAAACAGCGGTGATCAGATTCGCAAATCACCCTCGTGCATGCTCTATAATAAGGTGAACAAACTTGATGTTACCACAAATATAGTGTAGCATGAACACAAATCATACAGTACTCATTTAAACACACGTATTTATTGATATTAGTCCATAAGATGGTTATACAATTAATACAATATACTTTTATCACGGAGCACTCACTCACCGCAGCCAGTCACCCTCTCGGCTGGCGCAAATCTAAATGACCCTACCGGAACTAGTTCATTATCTGGGTGGAGTGTGCAGGTAGAGTGCAATTAAAGGGACCATACATGAAAATGAGTGTAGCAAGTGGAAATACCTTTTTGACCCTGTTACACTCCCCCCTGCTGATTTCCACTTGCTTCAGCAAACACATACACACACAAAAATGAGTACTAGAACAATGACAAGAGTGAAAACACTGACCACAATATAACATCAGGTACATAACCTCAAGAACCATATACAGTAATAGGAAGAGAGAAGAAAAAAATGTATAAAGTGTTCAAAACTTCATGAAATTATCAGTTCAATTCAGTGTAAACACTATTCCCCACAGGAATTAAAGTAGAAAAAGGGTGGCCAATCCCCTAGACACTCTTAGACAAACATGCCCATTACATGTTAGCTAAACAATGACAATTCCTACATTTGGACACACAAGTTACTCAGCAGAGAGACTTCACTTCCGTCTCAAATCAATACCCAAAACACACCACTATAAAGAAGTACAGTATCATTTGCATTAACCAATAGAGCAAAATGTATACCATAGAGAAAAAAAAGAAAAAAAAAAAAGAGATACCATATAAAACTCAAGCAACATAAATCATGTTTACCCCAGAACTTTTTGCTGGTTCATTATCTCAATCAATCTCGTAACTGGTTTAAGCAGTCTACCAGCTCTGGATCTCACACGACTTGGTGAACGTTTAGCAGGAAAGTTATCAACACTTATATTAGACACTGAATTAGCTTCTACAATGCGACCACCATTAGGCATCACAGCACTCAAGGAAACAGGAGCAAATAATTCAACTTGCTCTGCAATGGATTCACGTACACTCCTGTCCATACCCTCAACATCATCATAACCCTCAGTTCTCAGCTGGGTTATATCAGAGCTGTCAATCACATCATACTCCAATTCATTAGACTGAGCCGTATCCAAGGCTTGTATAGTCTCAAGAACATCTGTAGCTTCCTCCACATCATCCATGTCTGCATCCTTTGTGCCATCAGGAGGTAGCTGTGATACCCACTCTTGTGTCCTGTAATTAGAAGTATCTTCTGACACATCAGCAACCATAGAATCAACATTCTCAGAGTCACTCAGTTGGTTTTCGGTCGTATCACCTCCCAAGTCGTCATCAGGAAGTGGAAGAAAGTTTACTGGCATTATTAGGTTACGATGTACGGTCTTCACAATACCAGTACGACTGTGCTGAATTCTGTAGGTATGACTGTCTGCATTAAATCCAACAACAATGTACACTGTATCCTCCCAAATGTCAGCAAGCTTCCGTTTCCCACGTACTCCCTTGTTGGCAAGCAAAACTCGATCACCAACATCAATTGGTCCTCCCTTGACTCTCCTATTGTACAAGTCAGCATGTCTCTTAAGCTGTTTCGTAGCAGATGCCTGTGCGATGCGCATTGCCTCCCTCATATCTCTCTGAAGAGCCTGGATGTAATTGTCATAGTTCACAACATCCGGACTGTCCAGAACGGTTTCAAATATAAGGTCAATGGGCAGCCGCGGAATCCTCCCAAACATCAACAGGAAAGGCGCATACCCTGTGGTTTTGTGGATGCTGCAATTATAAGCAAAAGTTAGAGTTTTGAGTACTTTTGGCCATTTGTTCTTGGTCTTTGCCGGCAGAGCACGTATCATATTGCCCAGCGTCCTGTTCATCCTTTCACATGCTCCGTTACCCATCGGATGATAGGGCGTTGTTCTCGACTTTTGGACTCCAGCGACATTCAACAGCTCAGCGATCAGGGCACTCTCAAAGTTGGCTCCTCTATCAGAGTGGATACGCCCTGGGAAGCCATAAACACAAAAGTAGTTATGCCACAGCTGATGCGCCACTGCTTTGGCAGACTGATTTGGACACAAGAAAGCATTAGCCATTTTTGTGAAGTGATCTGTTACAACAAGAACATCCAGGGACCGGTTGGCAGAGTCCTCCGCTGACCAAAAGTCTATGCAGACGAGTTCAAGGGGCTCTGTCGTAATGATGTTCTCCAACGGCGCACGACCCTCCGGTTCTGGTGTCTTGCTGATCACACATCGACGACAGCACTTCACGTACTCTTTCACATCCTTCTCCAGGCCATACCAAAAGAACCTTTGCCGAGCAAGATACAGAGTCCGCTGCTGACCTTGATGTCCTGCTTGGTCATGAACACCTTTCAACACTATGGTTTTCACTGCGTCAGGCACGACATACAGGTAGGTTTTCCTTTTGGTGACATTATTCTTTGAAACCCTGTACAACACACCATTCTTCATAAGTAGTTTTCCCCAGTGTTTCATAAGTTTCAATACAGCTGTTGGCTCATTCATTTGCTCCCTCCTATTTGGTCTCCGGCCTCTTTCGACAAAGCAAATCACCCTACTCAAGATATTATCTTACTGTTGTTCCTTAATTAGATGTTTATGGGACAGCACATTTTAGTTGGAGTTTGGTATAGAACAGACTCAGGTGTAACAGTTGACTCAACCTTTGTTTCAGTAGGCTGAACAGCAACTTCCTGTTTCAGAAGAGTAACAGCTGGGGGCACTCTAGACACAGAGCTACATCGTTTCTCTCTACCATACTCTTCCAAACGTGCATGTACATCAGCTGCTGTCCACTGCTCCAACGATCTGCACTTAAAAATTAGTGAAAGCTCAAGATCTGGACAATGTCTGATAAACGTTACAGTGAGCTCATGGGACAGATCATCAGTCTTCTTATTTTGTCTCTTTAAGCAGTCTTCGGCCATGTCCATGGCCCTATTTAGCCTCAGCCAATAATCAAAGGGGTCCTCACCAGTGCGTGGCAGTGTGCTATAAAAATCAGCTAATGGCATGCTAGAAAAAGCTGTGTCACTGAAGTGTTGTTTCAGCAAATCAAAAATAGGACTTGGACTTTTGGACAAATCAATAAAGGGGTTACTGCGCAAGCCCACCCTTACAACTTCCTGTGCCCGCCCCATAAGCCTACTCATGAATTCATCAGCTTGTTCTTCGACTGGCATCCCTATTTTGCGCAAATATGACAGCACTATGGCTTCCCACTCATGTATTGTGTATGGATCAGCCCGATCACCCCTAAAACAAACAGGTTCTTTGATTTCAGATTTTAGAACTCTGTTCAAGACAGATGAGTCCGCATTACTTGAACTACACATTTTAGACTCTAAATAGGAAGCAATGCTCTCCCCCATAGAGCGTCCCATTCGTTCTACCATTCCCATTATTAATTCCATCGACTCATCCCCTCTCAGATTTGGTTGTTTCAGTCCTCCTTCACTAAACTGAGGTGGTCGAGGACTTGAATAATCATTTACATCTTGAACAGCCTCTAAGGCAGACATTGGAGTCGATGTGACAGAAGTATAATCAAGTCTGCCTCTCCCAACTGATGGCATAGGAGAAAACATGAAGAGACCTCTACCTCTACCAAAACTGTTCTCTAACTCCATATTTTATATTGACAATACCAATGTTGAACAAAAAAAAAAAGATTATCCAAATGAAAAAATATATACACTCCTTTTATTGATAAGAAACTCAGGAGGAAAAAAATAAAAAATAAAAACAAAAAAAATCTTCAGTTCTCAAAATGTTCCCAGTCCAAAGTTCTGTAAAACTGTATTAGTTCAGATTTCAGTCTTCTCCACGATAATACTTATTAATAACCCTCAAAAAAAAAAAAAAAAAATTTTTTTCACAAAAAACAATTACTTCAAAGTTCAATCTTCAATGGCTATTGTTGTAAAATAAGTCAATAATGCTTTCAAATGGATACCACAATACCAGAACTTTGCTCCTCTCAATGGTGAAACGTGTTCCTTTACTCCTCCTTGTGAACAAAAGCGGTATTGCGCCAAACAGCTCCGACGCGAAAACTCTCTCGTCACCCACAGCACGAACTCCTCTGGAATTCTCCGATTAGTCGTTTCAGCACTCACGGTCACGGCACCATTGTAACGGGTTGTCTCTGCGTTGTGTTGTGTAAAACTCAGAATGGATATCAATTTGTGCTTGAAGACAGACTTTGCCTTACACTCACCCCCTCCACATGCAGGCCTATTCGTTTCCCGTACGTGGAAGTGCATCCAACTCAGGAATCCTAACGGCAGCTGTGCAGGCTTTGGCTTTAGGACACTCTACACGTGAATGTCCTGCTTTGTAACAAAGAAAACACAGATGATTTGCTCTGCAGTGAAAATGGGTGGTGTGGCTAATATCTCCACACACCTCACATGGTAGAGTAGGCTTCCCTCTGCTTCTCTGTGACTTAAATGCACGATGCTCTGTACCAGCCTGATTTCTTGATTGCCCTTGGTCCAAGACACGTTCCAACATCGCTAAGATTCGTTCCATGGGTTCAACAGGCTCTTTAGTTGGAGTTTGGTATAGAACAGACTCAGGTGTAACAGTTGACTCAACCTTTGTTTCAGTAGGCTGAACAGCAACTTCCTGTTTCAGAAGAGTAACAGCTGGGGGCACTCTAGACACAGAGCTACATCGTTTCTCTCTACCATACTCTTCCAAACGTGCATGTACATCAGCTGCTGTCCACTGCTCCAACGATCTGCACTTAAAAATTAGTGAAAGCTCAAGATCTGGACAATGTCTGATAAACATTACAGTGAGCTCATGGGACAGATCATCAGTCTTCTTATTTTGTCTCTTTAAGCAGTCTTCGGCCATGTCCATGGCCCTATTTAGCCTCAGCCAATAATCAAAGGGGTCCTCACCAGTGCGTGGGAGTGTGCTATAAAAATCAGCTAATGGCATGCTAGAAAAAGCTGTGTCACTGAAGTGTTGTTTCAGCAAATCAAAAATAGGACTTGGACTTTTGGACAAATCAATAAAGGGGTTACTGCGCAAGCCCACCCTTACAACTTCCTGTGCCCGCCCCATAAGCCTACTCATGAATTCATCAGCTTGTTCTTCGACTGGCATCCCTATTTTGCGCAAATATGACAGCACTATGGCTTCCCACTCATGTATTGTGTATGGATCAGCCCGATCACCCCTAAAACAAACAGGTTCTTTGATTTCAGATTTTAGAACTCTGTTCAAGACAGATGAGTCCGCATTACTTGAACTACAACTCTAAATCTCTAAATAGGAAGCAATGCTCTCCCCCATAGAGCGTCCCATTCGTTCTACCATTCCCATTATTAATTCCATCCCCTCT